AGTCGCACTGTCTTCAGCAGGTGTGCCCCGAAGTACTGAGGTGGGGGGAGGCAGGGCGGTCACCCCAGGGCCGGCCTGGCCCATCCCGCCCCCGAGCCCACCCAGCCCAAATGCACTGACCACATTGACCTTGAAGGCGTGCAGCAGGTCGAAGGGCAGCGCTGCGATGACATCCAGCAGGAACCACGTGGTGACGTAGTGCAGGCAGATGGACTTGGGGGCAAACACCACCTGGCCCGACTTGGACACGAACGTGGTGCGGAAATTCAGCACAATGTCTGTGGGAAGTCAGGGCGGGACTCAGCGTGGGTTGGGGAGGAGCCACATTTTTCTGGGCCCCTGGCTCAGTATGTGACACTGGCCTGGGCCCTTCATATGCATTATCTTAGTTTTCACAGTAACTGCAAAGGGTAGGTACTGTCATGCCTATTTGATGGTGGGAGAAACCGGCTTGGAGAGGCTATGACCAGGTCGTGGTCCAGTGACCCATTAGCAGTGGAGACATATGGAACCTAGGTCCCATTTCAAAGGCCATGGGTCATAAACAAAGGGAGGGCCAGGGGGCCACCGGGGGGCAGCGGAAGCCATGTAGACTAGTCCCATCAAAGCCTGGGGGTCACCAGGGGTGGGAGGCACAGACTGCACATACCGAGAATGAAGAGGACCTCCACGGCCAGGTCGCAGACACTGGGGGGGCCGCGGGCGGCGCTGGGCTCCCGGGCTGTGCTCACGCACACGCTGTAGGGCACGGTGACAGCTACGTAGAGGGTGGCCAGCAGGATGAAGCCATCCCAAGTGGCCCTCAGCGCCCCGCAGTGCAGCAGGATGAAGGGCGACTTCCGGATGGCGGCTACCTTGTACTCAGGCAGATTTGGCTTCTCCCCAAACACCCCCTAAATGAGAGACAGGGCAGGTCCAGGCAGGGAGGACAGGAAATTGGCACAGGCTGAGTTTGGATAGGGTCTGGCCTCTCTCTCCCTGCATTCTCAAAACCACCTCTGACACAGGTTTTAGAGCCCCCTGGTTATAGATCAGAAGACTGAGCATTGGGGAGCTAAATGACTCAGTTGAGGTCACACAGCTGCTTAGCAGAGGAGCCAAGACTGAGCCAAGGGCCATCTGACTCCAGGGTCCAAACTCCTTCTTTTATCTTTGACAGCTCAGGCAGGTGACATTCTCGCCACAACTCCCGAAATGCTAGTGGAGCCTGAGTGGCCCCCTGAGCAGTCTCTCTGTGGTAGGCTCTGTTCCCCTTCTCCATCTCCTCAGCCTGTCCCCCCAGCAGCGCCCCCACCCCAGCCACACACACACCCTGGCGCGCAATCCACCTTATTGAGCTTGTGCTTGCCCTTGGGCTGCTTCTGCAGGTGCCCAGACAGGTGGTAGAGCACAGCCCGGCTCCGTCGCCGGTTGGCATTGAAACCTTTGGATCCAGCCCGGCCATATCGGCGTCGGCCACCACCTGCAAAAGAAGAAGGGCTGGAGAGAAGGACGAGGAGGGGCACTCAAACACTTAGCCCTGGGGTGCAGGGGTAGGACACCTGGTGCTGGCCCATGGACTGGCTCATTGACTAGTTAGACTATTCAGAGCTGGGGCTCCAGTGTTTCTCACTTCCTAGAGTCAACAACCCCAGCAACGGGCAGTGCTGAGGGTACATATGGACCCTCCTCCCAGTGCCTTCTCCTAGGAGGAGGTTTGGACCAGGGCAAGGCAGGAGAGGATCTCCACTAGGAGAAGCCTGAGAGAGGAGTGGGGAGGTGGTTCCCAGAGTGGGTGAGTGCCGAGCTAGCAGGAGGCCATGGGGCCTACGCCTGGGGGATGGAAGAGTATCCCAGCATTAGCAAATGATGAAGAGGCCTTGGGGCAGCTTCCGATAACAGCTCTGTGAGCTGTCCAAAGGCCACTCCCAAGCCCTGAGAGGATGCAAATGGGGAAAGAACACAAGGACTTAAAAGAGGGTTTTGGCTAGGGCTCCCCAGACAGTTTTGTATGAAGAAAAGGAACCAGGTGGGCCTCACTGATCAGTGGGAAAATGGTACTTCATGGACACTAGTAGAATGTGTTTTTTTCAGTTTCTTAGTAAAGTTGACTTCAAAACTCCCGCTTTGGGGACTTCCCTGGTGGTCCAATGGTTAAGACTTTGCTTTCCAATGCAAAGGGTATGGGTTCGATCCCTGGTCAGGGAACTAAGATCCCATGTGCTTGATGGCCAAAAAACTGAAACATCAAAGAGAAGCAATGTTTAACAAACTCAATGAAGACTTTGAAGATGGCCTGAACCAAAAAAATCTTAAAAAAAAACCCAATACTCCAACTGTGTCTTAGCAAGCTTTCCCACCTGGGCCTGCAGAGATGAGAGAGCCACAGGCTTCTCAGCCAGCAGAGCGGGAGTCAGTGGGTGCCGGTAGGGTGGGGGGCCCACAAGCCCACACTGGGTGCCATGGCCCCACCCAGGCTGAGGTACCCAACACCCCAGGCAGAGCAGCCAAATCAGAGGAACCTGGGCACCCACCTGACTCCTTCCAGTTGTCAGGCCCCCCTCGGTTCTTGGTTTCACTGATGTCCTTGTGAGAGACCAGGAAGAGGGCCACCTCCCCTTTCTCATTCTTTATGGGTATCACATCCAGAAGACACCAGAACGGGAGCCCTGGGCATGAAGACACAGTTCAGCTCCCATTCTCTGTGCTGCCCAAGATGACAGAGGGGCCATTGACACCCTTTAGTTAAGGCACAAGCCAGATCCACTTAGGACACTTAGGCTCGATCGAACAGGGCGAGGGAGGGCAAGGGAGAGCAGAGCTGACATTCAGACATGTGTGTTCAGAGATCTGTCCTGCTAAGTAAGATGGGCAAATTCTTCTGCTGGGGTGGGAAAGCCAAGATGGGAAATAGAGGACCGGCTGAGATTGCGGTGAGGACCGAAGAAAGGTGGAGAAAAAGGAGATGGGAATGTGGGAAGATGGGATGAGATGGGGAGATGAAGATGGGAGCGGAAAGGAGGGACTGTGGATGGGGTGGGTAAGGCTGGGTGAGACCAAGAAAGTAAGGCAGGCTGGCCAGATGGCCCCTCACCGCTCTTCCGGTACAGGATCAGCTCAGCCTTGAACTCCTTGTGCTCATCCAGGGCCTTGCGGATCTGTTGGCGGACGAGCTCACTTGTGTCTGGCCCATAGAGGAAGGAGCAGGCGCAGCCCCGCTGCATGACCTCAGCCCGGGAGAAACCCGTGAGGTCACAGAAGCCATCAGAGCAGTAGACCACGGGGAAGAGCCCCGCCACCTGGGCATTGCCCAGCACGAAGTTACTATCTGCAAGAGAGCACCTCTCAGAGGGGGTGTATGGTGAAGGGACACAAGGTCTACTGCCCCTCCTTTAACACTGCCTGCTATCAAAGGGGGGGGGTGTGACAAAACTTGGGAATCCTGCCTGTGAGTGTTTGGGCTGGGGGGCTGGGCGAGGGTTAGGACAGGAGCTGTTTATGAACTGGAATTAGAGTGTCATCTGTGTGTCTGTGCCCTGCAAGGACCCATTCTTAGCACCGTGTGTATAAGTGTATTTGAGAATCGGCATACCTGAGCCCTGAGGTTGGTGAACACAGCCCTGTGTGGGTGCTCTGCTCTCTGGAGTGTGAGCTGAGCAGCTTGGGGTACGGAGTGGGACTGCGGATGTCTAAAGGAGAACTGCAGGACCAGTTCTAGAACAGCCTCAGCCCCACCCCAGCCTCTGCCAGGTTCATTCACCTGCCAGGTACTCAGGTTGGCTATTTGGCTCCTCCCATTGAGACCCGCTGGGAGAGGGATTCAAGCCATCATCTATTCTGCACTCTGTCTGAGTCCCAGCTGCCTGACCTGGCTCGGAAGTTAGTGAAGGTGATCCACGATGGGGGTGTAAGGATGGTAGTTGAGCTCTGGCAGCCTGGAGCCAGGAACTACTGCGGGGTGGGGGGCGCTGAATCAGCAGGCTACGGGAGCCAAGTGCAGGCAAAGCAGACGGAGAAGCCTGAAGGGGTCCTCAGAGAGGGGTTTCCACCCGCTTGAGGAGCCAGACTGAGGTAGAGGGCTGGGAAGCCCCTCTGGGGGGAGAGGGGGTAGTTTGAGGGAGGGGGAGAAGGAAAGGAGCTTTCACGACTTTCCAGAGCTCAGAGTCATAGAAAACCATAATTCAGAACTCTGGTTGCCTTCTCCAAACTTCCCCAGTCTTGGTGGGAGTCCCCAAACCTGACTCTCTGGGGATAGACGGGCTCAGTGGGTTTAGGCGGTGAGGTGAGCTTGAACCAACAGCGCTCTCCGGGGCCCGGTTTACTCTATCTTGGTTTGCAAACCTCTTTTCTAAACCAGTTTTTTAAGCCTCTGGGCTGACTCTTGACTCTTCCTTCCCTCACTCCCCAACCTGCCAGTTCGAGGGTAGTCGATGGGACAGCGCCAGACGCAGGGATGGGATAAATTAGATTAAGTAGCTCCGGGTTCGCTCCCCCAGGCACAGACAGCATGCCCGGCTCCCAGACTGAGAGTTCTAGTCATTTCGTCTGGCCTGGGGCAGCGTTGACTTTGAATTTTTCCGAAACGGCATCTGAAAGGAGACGGTGGTCCCAGCTTAAAGTGGGGCTCGGGAAAGGGAAGGCGAAAGCAGGAGGACTCCAATCTGAGATGTCAGGGTACCAGACTAGAGGGAACCCTGGCTAGGGACAGCTGGTCCGGAAGCCAGTGGGACGAGGGTCGGGACTCACGCGTGCCGTCGAAGCGCGTGGCGATGGTGTCCAGGAAGGTGTTCTGCGGCGCCAGGAGTCCCCGCATGGCCGGCATCTTAGGCGGCCAAGGCCGCCCGCCCCATCCCTCCGGGGCGCGGGGGCTCAGCGCCGGGGGAGGGCGCCCAAGTCGGCCGCCCCCCGCCGGGCCCCGCGCCCCCTAGCGCAGCCGTCGGGGGGCGATACCCGCCCCGGGCTCGCAGGTCCTGCCAGCCGCCCGCGCGTAAGGGGGCGTCCCCGCCGTCGGGGCCCGGAGCATGGCGCGCGGCTCCTCGCGCCCTGGTAGCCCACGAATCCTGGACTCGCGGCTCCGCTTGTGCTGTGCTCTCGAAACCTTCCGCTTGCGGCGGCTGCAGCAGCGGCTCCCGTTTCGGCTGCGGTTCGGCTCCCGCTCGGGCTCCGCTCCGCACCGGATCCCCGCAGCTCCCTCCGTCTGTCGGGGAGAAGCGGCAGCCTCCCTCCTTCCCTCCTGCGCCCGCCGCCAGCACCGGGGTAACCATGGAGACGGGGCACACCCAGGCAGGGCCGCCTCCTTAAAGGGACAGGCCTCCCGCCGAGGGATCCCCCTCCCCTCGGGACCTCGTGGGGGCCTGGGAGGCGGCGCCCTTCCTCCCTACCCGCGCCAAGCGGGCCGCCCGGGCCACCTCAAGCTGCCCCGCCCGCCCTTCGGAGAACGACGGGCAAGCGCCTGGTCCCGCTCGGGCTGACTCAGCCGCAGGGGCGAGGCGTCTTTCTCTGCAGCAAGGGGGTGCTCAGAGAGCCTGGCAGCCTCTCCTCCCCCGGAGGGACCTGGGGAGAGCTCAGGCGGGGGCTGAGCGGGGGTTGCTTGTTTTAGAAGAAGCTTTTCCCTTAGGAAAAATGTAATGGGAAAGGGGGCTGGGCCAGCAGGCGGAGGTGGTGAAGACCGGTGGTTGGCGGAAGCTGTGGGGCAAGGGAAGTCTGAAAGGAGGTTTGGTGGAGGGGATCTAAACAGCTTCTGGGCATCCGCGTCTTTCTTAGTCTCTACTTGACTCTCCGGGGAATGGATCAATCTGTCACTAAGCGCATCTCAGCCTGAAGCGGCGGCTGACTGGAGCTGTCAGGGAATTGGAGGGTGGGCAGTCCTGGAAATAAGATTTAGACGCTCATCTTGTGTGATCGGGAGGTGGAGGGGGTAGGGAGTGGAAAACAGGTGTCTGGGGATGGGGGCGCCCCAGAACCTTTGTCTTGCCTTTACATTTCTTTCGGTCACCCATTACCGCTTCCAGGCTGCGATGAAGGGTCAGGTTGCAAATACAGGTACGGTAGCCGTCAGACGCTGGGGGAAACTTCCTAGCCCTGTGTTAGTGGGTCCTTGCGAGCGGGGAGTGAGAGGACCGTGGCTCCTCTGCCCCAGCGCCTTCAGTCCAAGAGCCCTAGGCTCTGCGCTGAAGGGTGTGCGGTGGCTGAGGGACCCTCCCATCCAGCGAGGGGGTGGGAGGAGGGGCCGACACTGGGCGGTGCGCAGCCCGGCCCCGGGCCGCAGTCTCTCGCCGGCCTCCCGCGCTGCGTCGGTCCCCCCAGCCTCGCGCTGCCAGCGCCGCTCCTCCTTCCTCCCACGATTTGCCAGCGAGCGCGGCTACCGCCCGCGCCCAGAGGAACCGCCGGGGCCAAAACAGCAATTTGTTCCCGAACGAGTGATGCGGAAGGCTTAGCACCCCCCACCCCTCTAGGAGACACAACCACAGTCATCAGCATCGGAAAGGGAGTGTCTCCCGCTCCACTCACCCCTCATCTGCGACAGGGGCCGAAGCCCCTGGCACCTGTATTAAAATGAGCTGGTGCTAGGCGAGGAACAGGAGGAATTCGTCCCCCTCCCCCAGTCCTCTGAATTCTGGAATCCTGCTCCCAGGAAGAGCGACCCTAAGGAGTCTGCAGATCTTGCCCCTGACTGCCGCCCTCCCACCCTCTCACCTGTGTCCAGGGTTGCACAGTAACGCCTTCCTCTTGGCTCATCTTTCCCCCTCCGGGCCAGTTCAAGCTGTACTACCAAGGAGGGGGTGCAGTTTACCAACTGTCACACTTTGAAAGAATGAGGCTATGGCTGATAGCACCTAACTTGAGAGCCAGGCTACTTACCTACGTTTGAATATAGTTCTGCCACTTGCTGTTGTGATTTTCCTTGCGTGACTCAATTTTCTCCTCTGTGAAGCAGGGACAGTACCGCAGAGAGTTGTTAGGAGAATTAAAAGATTAGAGGATCCAGAATGGTGTGTGACATTTGCATCATGGAAGTATTATCTGATTTTGAATCTTATAGGAGCTGTGTGAATTATGCAGAGTAGATGTTACTCACACTCCATCTCACAGATGAGTAAAAAGAGGCAGCGATAGAGAGACTTGCTCAAGGTTTGGTTTACAGCTAAGGTTCCAACCCTGACACTCTCCCAACCCCAGGTGTAGGATCCACCTCACTCCAGTATAGCTGTCTCCCACTCTGAGGACCCAGAAACAGCCCAAGGCTAGCTGTGAGGCACTCACAAGGACTGGTCATCTGGGGTTGTGCATCAGATCCAGATGGCCCTTGAGTCACCTGTGTGAGCCCAGGTGTTCACAACATTCAGTCTTCAAGTTCATAAGCCTGGGCTGATTTGAAAATGAAGCCAAACCAGACTCTGTGGGTCAGGGCAAGTGGGCGGTAGATGGAATGTGTGGGTGCTCCACACAGTACCTGTGTGTACTATTACAGTACCTGACATCAACTTTGTGCCAAAGCACTGTGCTGAGTGCTTTACTTGGATTATCCCATTAATCTTTATCATAACTGTGAAATAGTTACTGTTATAATTGACAATTTACAGATGGAAAGCATTAAGGCAGAGGGGTTAAATATCTTGTCTCAGATGCACTGTCTTCTCCAGCAGCTCCAGGCACAATGCCTCTGATATCGCTTTGGTGCCCTGGTTGGTCCCCCTTTCCAGAGGAAAACATACTAACATAAATTGAACATATGATCACTCTTATCTCAGAATGAAACAGCAGTGTTTTGGGCTTTAAACTGCTTCTGCCATTGCCCATCATAGATTTTGTGTGGACGTGTATGGGATGGAGCTGTGGCCACCAACCCTTTCCTTTCGTGTTGTTCAGTTGCTCAGTCATATCCCACTCTCTGCGACCCCATGGACTGCCGCACACCAGGCTTCCCTGTCCTTCACCATCTCCTGGAGCTTGCTCAAATTGTGTTCACTGAGTCAGTGATGCCATCCAACCATCTCATCCTCTGTTGTCCCCTTCTGCCTTCAATCTTTCCCAGCATCAGGGTCTTTTCCAATTAGTCAGCTCTTTGCATCAGGTGGCCAAAGTATTGGAACTTCAGTTTCAGCATCAATCCTTCCAATGAATATTCAGGGTTGATTTCCTTTATGATTGACTGGTTTGATCTTCTTGCAGTCTAAGGGACTCTCAAGAGTCTTCTCCAACACCACAGTTCAAAAGCATCAGTTCTTTGGCATTCAGCCTTCTTTATGGTACAACTCTCATATCTATACATGACTACTGGAAAAACCATAGCTTTGACTAGATGGACCTTTGTTGGCAAAGTGATGTTTCTGCTTTTTAATACAGTCTAGGTTTGTCATAGCTTTTCTTCCAAGGAGCAAGCATCTTTTAATTTTATGGCTGCAGTCACCATATGCAGTGATTTTGGAGCCCAAGAAAATAAAGTCCGTCACTGTTTCCATTGTTTCCCCATCTATTTGCCGTGAAGTGATGAGACTGGATGCCATGATCTTAGTTTTTTGAATGTTGACTTTTAAGCCAACTTTTTCCGCTCTCCTCTTTCACTTTCATCAAGAGGCTCTTTAGTTCCTCTTCACTTTCTGCCATAAGATAGTATCCTCTGCATATCAGAGGTTATTGATATTTCTCCCAGCAATCTTGATTCCAGCGTGTGCTTCATCCAGCCCAGCATTTTGTTTGATGTACTCTGCATATAAGTTAAATAAGCAGAGTGACAATATGCAGCCTTGACATACTCCTTTCTCAATTTTTCCAGTCCATTGTTCTATGTCTGGTTCTAACTGTTGCTTCTTTACCTGCATACAGATTTCCCAGGAGGCAGGTAAGGTGGTCTGGTATTCCCATCTCTTTAAGAAGTTTCCACAGTTTGTTGTGATCCACACAGTCAAAGGCTTTATTTAGCATAGTCAATGAAGCAGAAGTAACTGTTTTCTGGAATTCCCTTGCTTTCTCTATGATCCAACGAATGTTGGCAATTTGATACTTGGTTCCTCTGCATTTTCTCAAGCCAGCTTGAACATCTGGAAGCTCTTGGTTCAAGTACTGTTGAAGCCTAGTTTGAAGGATTTTGAGCATGACCTTGCTAGCGTGTGAAATGAGTGCAATTGTGCTGTAGTTTGAACATTCTTTGGCATTACCTTTGGGATTGTAACAAAAACTGACCTTTTCCAGTCCTTTGGCCACTGCTGAGTTTTCCAAATTTGCTGGCATATTGAATGCAGCACTTTAACAGCATCACCTTTTAGGATTTGAAATAGCTCAGCTGGAATTCCATCACCTCCACTAGCTTTGTTTGTAGTGATGCTTCCTAAGGCCCACCTGACTTTGCACCCCAGGATGTCTGGCTCTAGGTGAATGATCACACCATCGTGGTTATCCAGGCCATTAAGACCTTTAGCCTGGCTTGATTGAAGGTGTTCTTTCCATCGAGATGAGTGTGTTCAGGGTCTCAACCCACTTGACTCCCTTTCATGTCACCTAGTCCCGCAGGTCTCCCTGCCAGACCTGCCTTATAGAGGTTGCAGTGATGAATTCCTTGCCTCCTCCTTCCACCTCCTTCCCTGCACCTACCCTCCCACCTAGAATAAACAACACACACACACACACACACACAGCAGGGGAGCCAGCTTGGTGGGGGGTTGGGGGTTGGGAGGAGTTGAAAAGGAAACAGGGCAGGGCCCGGGGTAGGGTGTGGGTCAGGTAGCACTGGGCTCCTCATAGTAATCTCCTCTTCCTCTCCCCTTTCCCCAGCTCCTGACTCACTGGCCACCGCGGGGAGTCACAGGGAAGGGAGGTTAAGGAGGGGGGGCCCTGTTCAGAGATAGCTCAGAGGCATTGTCAACAAGAAGAAACTCAGGAGGCTGAGTTTTGGAGCTGCCGTGGGAGGCCTGTGGGAGTATTATCTACAAAAGGAACAGGGGGAGAGAGCAGGGAAGAGCAAAGCAAGGAAAAAATTGCTCAAGACACAAAAGATGGAGAAAGCCCCCACCCCACCCCCAAGCGCAGGCGGAGTCGGTTGCTGTGTGCCTTGGTTAAGAACAGGTGGCTGTCGGATCAGAGTCCAGGGGCTCCTCCCCTCCCCGCTTCCCACTCTCTCCACCTCTTTTCTGGAGGTCCGCAGGTCTCTCACTCTCAGGCTGTGTTGTGAGGCAGGGAAATGTCAGGCTTTCAAGTCAGACTAGCCTGGGTTTGAATTCTAGCTTTGCTACTGAGTGACCTTGGGAGGGGGCGGAGGACAGGTGCTAATCTCAAAGAGCATCAGTTCCTTCATTTGTGAAATGAACCTTTCTCAGAGGATTGTGGAGAGAATGAGATGAGCTTAGTTAAGTGGTTATGATTGTTACTGAAAGTCCCCCTGTGCTTGCCCTGGCCCCGGGTGCTGGGACCACAGAAATGAGCTCAATGTGCAGCCTCGACGGAGTCTCCCCACCCCCACCAAAACATTCTGGAATACTCTGAGGCCTCCAGTACTTGGCCACCCCACAGATGTCTCATTCTAGACCATTCCTTTTCTTTTAGTGGAGGGACCCAGCTAGTATAAAGAAACCACAACAAACTTTCTAAAAAGGAAAGTTGAGAGGCTAATTTAATGTGGCTAGTTAACTGGGTGAACCAGCTCTGAACCAGGAGTTGGTGAAGGAGCTGGCAGTTTGCCATCATGCCACACTGCTGGGGGTGCCTTGTCCTGTCCTCTGAGAAACAGCCTATTAAAAGGGGACAAAATGGTTATTTTAGGTCATTTTTAGGGCTTCCCTGGTGGTTCAGATGGTAAAGAATCTGCCTGCGTGGGAGACCTGGGTTTGATCCCTGGGTCAGAAGATCCCCTGGAGAAGAAACTGGCAACCCACTCCAGTATTCTTGCCTGGAGAACTGCATGGTGGGCTACAGTCCATGGGGCCACAGAGTCAGACATGATTGAACCACACACACACACACACACACACACACAGAGGCATTTTGATGTTACCGACTGTGAACAGCCATCTGGACTTCAGGCTGTGGGGGAGACATTGCAGTGGACCACAAGCCCCACCTACTTGGATTCGGCAAGGGAGTAAGTCTGAGAAATGCTCTCAGTCTCTCACCTGCGAGTTTGAGCAACACCAGAAAATGGGTTTGTTTGAAATCTAGTTACAGAGAAAGCCTAACTGGGTTAAGTTGAAGAGAGACATAAAAAGGAGACCTGACTTTTCCCTGGGGAATAGAGTGGGTGGTATTTGTTCCTGCTGTTTTGACGGCTGTGAAGGGGAGGGTGGGCTGGAGAACAGTTGTGCTGATGGTGGTGATGGTGGGTGAGTTTCCTCACCCAGAAAAATCTTCAGCTAGCGTTTCCCTGGTAGGGAGTCACAGTGTAGGTAAGGAAACTCCCTCGGCACCTGTGGGGAAATGACAGCCCCTGGCTGTCCCCAGGGAGATG